AAATTGAACAACAAGTCATCTTTTCTCCTATGATACAAGCACCTATCATCAATACTATCTATAGTCCGGTAAGAACCTTCGCTAGATGCATTAAAACACAACATTGATAGATTAAAGCTTTGATGTGTGTTGCTGTTTTCTTCCTACTATTAATTTCGCTTCATATTTAGATACGAATTGTCCCGCAAGTAGTAATACTTAGAATGCCGTCGCCAATAATTGATCCACCGGTAAGTACATTTTCGATATCTCCCATCAAAGGAACGATCTTGATTGTCATTATATATTGGAATAGATAATTGAGCAACCTATCATTCGACGACCACCACCAATCATTATTGAAGAAATAATCAACATTATAGAACGACCAGTTGTTCAACCTTCAATTTTCGTCGAAAGAATCGTTAGCCCAGTAAGAGCTATTTTGTGGTGCTAGAAGTTCTTTTCCGAGTAACAAAAGAAAAGTCAAACATGATTACAGGCATTCCTTTTTCTCGATGCTATTTACTCAACTGATTCTAACTGTTTCACAGCCATTTCTTCAGATTGATGAATTTGTCGGCCTCTCCTATTCTTTATTCAAGAAGAAACACGGCGTTTGGATAATTATTCTATATTTAAATAGATCATTGAACTACCATCAATCGTCGAAGAACTACTTGTTTATCAATCGTTAGTGATCCAAATTGAACAACAAGTCATCTTCTCTCCTATGATACAAGCACCTATCATCAATACTATCTATAGTCCAGTAAGAACCTTCGCTAGATGCATTAAAACACAACATTGATAGATTAAAGTTTTGATGTCTGTTGCTGTTTTCTTCTTACTATTAGTTTCGCTCCATATTTAGATACGAATTGTTCCACAAGTAATAATACTTCGAATGCCATCGCCAATAATTGATCCACCGGTAAGTATAAATACGATATTTTCAATCAAAATGGTACAATTGACTGTGATTCTGTGTGAGAATAGATAATTGAGCAACCTATTATTCGACGACCACCACCAATCATCATTGAAGAAATAATCAACATTGTAGAACGACCAGTTATTCAACCTTCAATTCTCATCGAAACAATCGTTAGCCCTGTAAGTACTATTTTATATGATACTATTTAGAAATGGATAAACTGAAAGAAAACAAAAGAAAAGTCAAACATGATTGCAGGCATTACTTTTTCTCTATGCTATTTGCTCAACCGATTCTAACTGCTTCACGATCATTTCTTCAGATTGATGAACCTGTCGGCTTCTCCTATTTTTTAATCAAAAAGAAAACCTCTGTGCTCATGATAATTTTTTATTTAAATAGATAGTTGAAATGCCGTCAATTGTACAAGAACCACTTGTTTATCAATCTGTAGTGATCGAGATTCAACAACAAGTCATCGTCTCTCCTATGATACAAGCACCTATCATC